AAAAAGTCAAGACAGCGTCCTCAAAGGGTTCAGGTGTCACTTTGTCACTTTTTTATTTTTTTATTTTTTATTTTATTTATTTTATTTATTTTAACCGTCACTTCTTTTGAAAGGAACCACACCTATGCTGCGTGCAGAAGGAAGGACCTGTAGGGGCTGGGGGTGTAGCTCAGAGGTACAATGCTTCTGTGGCATATGGGGGAGAACCTGGACTCCATCTCCCTCACCAGAAAAGAAAAAGGAGCAAACCTCACTTACTCTGACACCACAGCCTGGCCGGCTTTGGGAAGCAAGCCCCAACCTCCTTCACCTCCTCTTACACTTTTAGGTTTAAGGTAGGTTCGTGTTGTTACTCCCTTTTGACCCCTGCAGAAACTAAGGCGTAAAGATTCCCCCGTAATTACTGCTTCACATAAAATGGTTATAACTGTCATTCAAATGTCAAAAACTCGGCCGGGGAGACAGCTCAGGGGCACAGCACCTGACTGGCAAGCGCAAGGTCTTGAGTTCAATTCCCGGTACGGAAAAAAAATCAAAAACCAAAAAAAAAAAAAAAAAAAAAAAAAAAAAAAAAAAAAAAATTTTTTTTTTTTTTTTTTTGGGTTTTTTTCCGGTACCGGGAACGGAACTCACGACCTTGCGCATGCCAGGCAGGCGCTTTTGCCGCTGAGCTAAATCCCCAGCCCCTCAAAGTCTTATTAACTGCTATCGTCCTGCCTCAGCCTCCCAAAGGGCTGGGATTAAAGATGCGCGCCACCACGCCCCGCCTCCACTCTCTTATCTGAAAGGCGGCGCATCCCCGAAAGGTGCCGCACAAGGGCCGCCTCGTCCCTAGGGGTCAGGGGCGCGCGCGCTTCGGAGGGCGCCGAGGCGCGCGAGGGGGGGCGGGGGAGCCATGTCGGCGAGGGGGAGGGGAAGGGCCCCTGCGCGAGGCGGGGGCTAATGGGCGCCTGTGCTCACCCGAATCGTAGAAGGCGTCGAGCACAGCGGTCTCGCCGAAGTCGAGCTCCCCGAAGCGCACCGAGATAAGGCAGACGCCCTCGGCCTCGCAGGCCTGAAGCAGGCACTGCAGCGCTCCCCCCTCAGGGCTGCCGGCCGCGCTGCTGTGGGCGCTGTCACTGCACACGTACACGGC